TTCTAATCCTTATTATATCATATGTTCTTTAGAAAGCAGAAGTATAGCAGGTGAACTGTCAGAATCATTTCTGAGATAATTCATGCTGAGGTACTTTGTTATCTTGTGAAATTACACTGTGCTACTCTGACAAAAAAGGGTGCAGTTTCTCTTAACTATTGTAACATTAAACTTGAAAGCAGAATTATGTCTCCCAATTTGCCAAAAAATTTTAAAATGAAATTTCAAGCCTTCAGAGTGTTGCAAATCCCTGTTCCGTACTTTGGTACTAATGTTTGTAATATGACCTTTGCATTAGTAGACAGGTGGGAAAATACACGTAGTCTATCATCTGCCTAATGACTCCCTATCTGAGTAGGCTGTTTTATGTCAGTTGTCCACCTGAATATTGGAATTTTTTTTTCTACATTCAACTGATCTGCATTTAAACCAGTCTCTGGGTGGGAAAAAATCTGCTTGCTAGAGCACTGTGTTAAAACAGTCCATTTCAGTCAAACGTTCATTTTTAGAAATTCATTAGCCCAAGTATGGAAGAAAATTATTAAGGGGAGGATATGACTGAGGTTTATAAAATTATGTCTAGAGCAAGTAAATAAGGAAATGCTATTTACTCCTTCTCATAATGCAAAACTAAATGCCACCAAATGAAATTAATAGCAAGTTAAAAAAAAAGAAAATGTTTCTTCATGAACAGTCAACCTATGGAACTGCCTGCCAGAGGATGTTGTGAAGGCCAAGACTACAACAGAGTTCAAACAAGAATTAGATAAATTAATGAAGGGCAGGGAATAGACCACTTGATGATTACCTGTTCTCTTCATTCCTTCTGTGGCACTCACCTGGCATTGGCAACTGTCAGAAGACAGGACACTGGTCTAGGTGGATCTCTGATCTGACCAACAATGGCTGTTTTTATATTCTTATAAAGATCTGTGGACCTATGCAAAATGATTGTGTGCTGAAGTGTGAAAGAATACCATAGTTATCTCAGTGGATTTATAATTGCAGCTATATCACTTATTTGAGATGTAATTTGCTGGTCAAATGATAAGCCCTATCTGCTTGAATTTTGTAAATTGTATGACTGTAATGTACTCATTAAGACATTTCAGAAGCCAACAGGGAATGCAGAATATAGTGCCCCATGTAGCTCAGTGACACAAATCTCAGGGAGCATATTACATCTGTTCTCTGAAGACTTTCTGTCTTGTACCTCTTTACTTGTAACTCAAGCTTCTTGATTTTGATCTCTGAAGCCTGTATGGTTTTCAACCAGAGAAATGATGTTTCACTCCAGGTATCATCATGGCAAGTGAGTGCAGGTAGGGCACTCATGATAATATGCTACAGATGTTAATGTCTAGACCACTGATAGAGCATTCTCAGTAGGTCTCTTGGCCCAGGAATTTGTTTTCTCCACAGCTCTATCAAATCTGAGTCAGTCTCTGGTGTTATGCTTAATTCAGAGTCCTTGGTCCTTCTCTTCTTAGAGGTGACCGTTATGTCCTGTATCGGGGAAGGGAATTAATAAACAGAGGGACTTTGGAATAGGAGGAAATTCTCTAGTTCTCTGCAGAAGCACACGGGATATGTGTCTTTTCTCGCTGTGTGGTCTATCAATAGGATTGGTCCTTACAGCATGATGTAAGGGTTATCTTGTTTATTTGATTTTTGCCTGTGGGATTCATTATAGTGGTGGTATAGTTTTAAAGCAGGATGAAATCTCTCATATTGACGTTGTTCAACAGACTAGATGGATGAGTCCTTCCCTAAATGAAAACATAAATAATGGTTTTTACCATGTACAGATGGAAGAATTTTTGAATAGTATAAAAACCTACACACATTTTGGTCATTTTTTAAAAAGTTTGCAAAGACTAAGGGGGGGGGGGCAGTTAATGGGGATACCTTGAAAAAATGTGCCTTTTGATATCTTCATTTTAGAATTGTAAATCCTGAAATATTTACTTCTAGGGATTATTATGGTGCCCATTACAGAGTGAAATTATATGGCTTATGCTATGCAGGAGGTCAAACTAGACACTTATAATGATCCCTTCTGGTCTTAAATTCTATGAATCAAAGTAGTATCTGAGAAACAATACGATAATCAGGTCTTGTGGGACTACCAGCTCAGTCAGACAGCACTTGAAATATTCCAAGAAAGCTTCAACTCCTGTGACTTCTAGCATAAAGAATTTCAAAGAAATATCCCAACAAAACCTTATGGAATGTATCCACGAGTCCTTAGGAACATTCTAACTGGAATCAGTTTATCACTGGGATGGGGAACCTCCTGCCTGTGGGCTGGATGCAGTTTGCCAGGGGTTGGCCTCTGGCCGGCCACCAGAAGCTTGGTTTGCCTGCACACCAGCAGGCATGGTCGCTTGCAACTCCCAATGGCTGTGGTTCACTGTTCCTGCCCATTGGGAGCTGCAGGAAACAGTGGCCCAGCCCCCTGCACTTCCCACAGCTCCGATTGGTTGGGAATAGTGAACCACAGCCAACGGGAAGTGAGAGCAGCTATGACTGAAGACGTTCAGGTAAACAAAGCATATGACAGCCTACTAGGAGCTAACCCTGGCAAACCACTGCCAGCTAGAGCACCGGACGTTCTCCACCTCTGGTTTAATAGCTGTCCTAACATGTTTGCCATAATTTAACTCAGTTTATTTTAAACTGAATTTTTCCTTGTCTTTGAACAGAAAACAAAATCATTCTGAGTTAAAGTTCATTGGAAATGATACTAGAATCAACTATTTTTTCATAGAAAAAGTAGAATCCCTGTGGTTAAGTGCTGCAAAGAGGTCCATGGACCCTAAACATTCATCATGCACAAAATCCAAAGTTCATGAGAGTAGGTAAGAAGACTTCTATAGAATTCAGTGGGCTCTATATCAGGTTGCAGCATGGAAAATAAGTTGAGTTAAAATTTCAAAGTGCTTCTTTGCACTGTAAGTACATACTGTACTATTAAATTCACCCAAGTAGAGGGCCCACCCAGAGCTGTCTGGCTTTCTCACTGGACTATTTTTTAAATCCTACTCCTGTACTGCCCTGCAATTCTCTAGCACACC